GACAACGTGCCATTAAACCAGTGCCCCCTGCAAAGTCCTGTTGCTTGCAACATTTGCCTGGGGTGACTTCAACCTTTTGGCAACACTTGCACATAATCAAACCATGCTGTGTAGGTTGCAACACAAACAGCAAACCTAGTCATTTCAAAGTGGTTGTGCTACTATTTTGAAATAAAGGAAAAAAAAACGGCAAACAAGCCCTCTCTTTTTACAAACAGAATGGAAGGAAACATTATCTCAGTTTCCATCAATGCATGGCAGTATCACTGCTGACCCGATGCCTAGCTGGTACTACTCCTAAGGCGTGCAAGTTTGTCCCACGCTCTACAAGTCAATAGCAATGTTTCCTTTAACTTCAGTCATACGGAGTCAGACCTCCAACAGTGCAAAACTACCCCAAACGCAGCCGGCACGGCTTGCAAACCCCTTCTATTGTCCTGCCTGAGCTATTTTCATGGCCCAGATTCCTTGCTGATCTTGAGCAGTTTTACAGTCACTGAAATCCACTGGCTGCCAGTAAAGTAATCCCAAATCCCAGCAGCTATGTAAAAGGAGATTCAAGCCTTTATCACTCATTATGGGTGTATGCATGTTGTATGCAGTATTTCCAAGGTGTCTGACCTCACACTGCACAAATATATACACGTTTTTCCCCCTGCTGCTGCACAGAGCTACAAGTTGGGAGTCAAAGAAATTAAACAGTTCTCCATGGTTGCCTATAATACTTGTAGCCGCTATTGCACTCCCAAAGCCCACCCACAATTTCATTTTCAATTAACAGCTCTTAGAAAAGCAGTAATGAAAGCAGTTGCTAAAGAGCACTCAGATGTCATTGAGAGACTGCAAACCCAAACTGTAAATAGCACATTGTAAATCGCTTGTCACCACAGTCAGCTCTCACTGGAATCACACTGCCGGTGACAATCAAACCCATCTGCTCAGCTCCCCAACCAATGTCACCACAAGCCATTCAGCTAACACCCACCTCCCGCTCCGCTCTCATTACCTGTCATGTACAGGCTTTTCTAAGAGCGTGCAAAAGCCATTCCTGACTGTAAGCATGATTAAATGCAGATCACACAACGGTTATTTCACCCTCCGCACCAGAGGTTTGCCGCGCTGAAGCACACAAGCACCTCTGCACCAGACAAATGTGCTATAACTAAATCTGCAACACAATTAACGACGTGATGTTCGCAAGCGACTGTGACAGGGGACAACAGTAGCCATCCAGACCAGCCATCAAAAGCCTTAACAGTCTCAAATTCAAGATGTATAGATTCAGGGCAAGACTGCCAAGGGGATTGTGGACTTAATTCTGAGAAGGAAAAGCTTCAATACTTCCCTCCCTCCCCTTTAATTGATTCATGTAATGAACTACGAGGTGAAAGCTAATAGTTTGTAATGCTCGTTGTTGATGACTGCCAGAGTCAGCGGTGTATCTTTTTTTTGCTGTTCTTCCCATTTTTCCTTTATCTCATTAAAAATTACCTCCTAATTCACCTCTCCATCACAAGTTTTCTACCCTTTATTCATCATCTGCCCCTTATTTATTACCAGTTTGTCTCCTTCCTTGCACTCACACGATATCTGGGATTGGGATGTAATATTCTGCAAGCGTCTTTGGAATCAGCCGGTTAAGGTAGAGCCCAGCAGCAGTTGGCTCTCGTATGTACGTAAGCCAGTTAAGATACGACTTGTGCAGCATACAGATTGCTGTTTTAAAAGCATATGCCAAAGATGATCTTTTTCTGCAAGAAGGGGTATGAATCTCCCAGCAGATAAAGAAAACAATGAAGGAAATGGTAGAGGTAGCAGAAGTCAGTGTCTTCTGCTCTTTCCAAAACACACACCCACTGAATAAAGAGAAATGATCCTTCCCTCTCACTATCAAAATACTCTCAACGCTCCTTCTGCAATGAAAACTCATTGTTTCCTAGTATGCCCCATTCTGCTCGAGCCTTGAGGAATAAAAACTCATTAAAAACTATTTTAAAATTGTTGCCACCCTTTTAACTAGTTTAAAAATGTTCGCTTTAAGATTTCCAAATGATTTTTACAGAAAACACATAAAAACACGCCATCACCAATTAACGTAAAGGAAATTAAATTTGAAACGCTGGAGAAATATTCTGATGAGTCTTACGTTTGCTTAATGCCAACTAAAGTTTCCTTGAGGCATTTAATAAGTACATTTATAAAAGCCCACAAAGCAGAGTTCAAAAGTCTTCTCGCTAGTAAAGTATGAGCCTTAATTAACCTACAGTTTCACATTTGCTGGATTTCAATAAACCTGTAGGCATTTCAGCATAGCTGGATAAATACCTGCATGAATCCTGCAAGGGTTTTCTCTGAAAACTAATTAGCAGTCCTTCCAATAGCTGACTTCAACTAAATCTGTTTGACGAGGGAGCTTCATACCATAAATCCTGCATGTGAGAGTTACTTCCAGCAGACAACAGATTTCACAGAAAGGCGTATCAGACAGGACTGTTAACTAGTGGTAAAACAACGAACAAGATCTCCAGGTATAAAACATTTCCCAACAGGGACAGACTGCAGCCAAGGTCTTATGCCAGCACAGGAATGCAAGTGACAGCATCGAGATTGCATCCTGCCATCCAATTATAATCTTCACATGTGACAATTCAGGATTCCTCCAGGGACAAGAGGGGCAAGATACATTGTTTACTTATAAAATATATAGCCCTAATAATAGCAAGGACACCATATGTATTTCCAGAAGCATACTGAACTTTAATTGGCTTTGGACCCTCCTACTTTGTCAAGCACAAAACACAGTGGGCCCCAGTTCTTGGCTTGCTGTCATCTGAGAAGGTTGACAAGAAACTTTACTTCCCATGGGGAGCCCAGGAATTCAGTGGGATGGAGCTGGGTGGGGAAGCAAACCCAAGGTGTGCAGCCAAGAGTCACTCCAGGAGGGAAAGTGTTACATGATCAGGGAAAACCATCCTCAGAACTTATCATTCTCCTTCTTTTTTCGAGGTCTTCACCATTTGTCTTGAAAGAAGACAGAAAATGCTTACCAGAAATACTATATATAAAGGTTGTGGGCATGTCTTTTCAAATAAGCTTTATAGTCTCTTCTATGACATCTTTTTTCCACGTCTAAGTGTCAAAGCCACTTGGATTTGTCAGCACCTAAACTGTTCATGAGACTAAAATGTTCTTATCTAAGGAGCTATACCCCTACCAAATGTATTAAATTTATATTGAGCAAGACACTTTATTTTCTCTCAGCCTTATCCCTCAGGAATTAAGCAGAGTACTCAGATTTATCAGCTAAAAGGAAAACCATTTTCCATGACATTTGTCAACTCAATACCTTCCAAGCCAGTGTATATTTATTCTTAAAAACATAACCTCACAAATAACCTCCCTCAGCAGCGAGGCCGATTCCTTCATTGCTTAAGTACCGGGCAGGAAGGTTTCACCTGACAGCAGGCTATGCCAGGGGAATCAAATAGTGCAAAAAGTCAGCTTTTACGAAGGCCAGTTCCTACTGCACAAAGCACATACATTTACCATTTGACATACCAAAAAGGAACAGAATGAAGACCATGTAGGTGAACACAGAAAAAAGTCGAGGAAACACAGCAACCTTCAGTATCTACTTATTACATTACCATTGCATCAACTATCCTGAAGAGTTTCCCACCTCCCTTTGAAATACAAAGCAAAATTAAATTAAAAGAAATACCTTTAACGGGTGTGGTAGCGTAGAACAGGCATTTTTCAAATCGTTTGCTTTGCTGAAGCGCTGTATAATCTCTTATTTTATTTCTATATACAGTGTAGGCTTAAAAATAATCACAAAAACATATTTTTTACCAGCTTCTGTAACTCTGAATATCAAAACCGAATACAAGTCAACGTACTTGTCATCCTCAATGCTCCTTCCACTTCCTCCCTGAGCTGACAAAATAAGGAGCAGTGAATTCTCACTATTTTCTAAAAGTTTCTCTGCAAAGCAATGTTTCGTTTGCACCAAACAAGGATGAAGACTCATTCAATGAATATCAACCATCTCCATTAGACGTATAAATTTTCGTTGAAGAGTCATTAATATCACTCAAATTTAGGTCAAAGCTGACCTCTTTACTGTTACTTTAGACTTCAGTTTCGCAGACGATGAGCCAAATGACCATACAGGCGCATGCTATACTTAAAATGCCCAGCTCTAATTTAGTCTTTTACATATAACAAACACACAAGGGATATTTATTCAAAAAAAGCAAAACATGGCTCTTTTTTCTGCATCCTGCTCACCAGAGAAATCACACTTGTCACGCCTTCTTCTTTTTTAAAAACAAGAAACACAACACTGTACAGTCCTGAATAAGACTCCAAGATTTCCAGCCTCAAGCTTTGCAACCCTGGATGCTACCTGCTCGCTTTTGTCACATGTGCGCCACAGCACCAGTGTTGGGAAAGCAGGCAGTTCTTGCTTAGGGATAGGTGATTAGTCACCCAAGAGAGCACACACCAGTACCACTGACATCCTACAAATGAGCTCCTCGCACCGTTATCAGTCTTAGAGCTTTGTCTTGATTAACAGCTGCCCCTCTCGCAATTACCTCACCTTGCCCTTAATGTTCAAGGGGGGTCTTAGGCTTCTGTGTACAAAGTCTAAAGACAAGAAGGCTTATTTATAGCACCAACTTGGCCTAACAATGTAATAGAGAGACCACATTTGTTTGCCCTGACAGTCTCACAGCCAGCCTATGGAAAGCTTTTCCAACCTTTGCACCTTTATTAATCAACTCGGCTCTAGCATCAATACACTGCTTGCTTTTTCCCACTCAGTTAATCTCTTCTGGTACCAGGACATGGTACCAAGCGGTACCCGAGAGCCCAAGAATAAAACAACTACGAAGGGGTTAAAGTAGGTGATCCCACAAAATGAGAAATCCGCTTCCACATACCATGTGCCAACAGCCAAAGCCCTCCCTCCCCGCAACAGATAACTTGTCTCCCACCTGTCTGAGGCCCTTCGGTATTTTCTTCCTTTTCCCAAGGTGCTGACAAAGATTACGATCATTTTCTCGGTCGGAGCTGTACTGGTGGTGGTGAAGTCTGTTCTTTTTCGGAAGATACGACAGCCCATTGGTAAGTGCTTCCCGTTTCTTCTTGGCTAGAGGATTCTGTCGCTTCTCCACACGTTCCTGAGGTTTCAGAGCTACGTCCTTCTGCAGAGGGAGGGAGTGGGGGACGGAAGAGAAGAAAAACACAGTGGTTAAGATACGGCTCTGATTTGGTCGACCTCTTTAAGCAGCAATTCTAGGTGACGAGCAAAGCATTCCTGAGGCAATGCTACAGTCACCAGAAAAGAAGAAAGCAGTCTTCACTGGTGTCCACTTAATCAAAAGATAGGCAAATGCAAAATAAAATCTGTCAGATGAAGTGAGTGCACAGAAGCAGACACATACTCCCTTAGATTTCATACCATCAACCTCATAATTCTCAAACACATCTCATGTATGAAGTAAGCATGCATTTAGAGGACAGCATATGTTTATAATGTTTAAATTAACAATCGTCTTCAATTTAAACAAGGCTTGGCTTTTCACATTTATTTTTATTATTTCTTGTATTTGACAGGATAAGGCAAGAGCTGACCTAAATCCAATTAAAGCCAATGAATCTCAATTGACTTCAGTGGACATTTCCCTCAAGCCTGACCTAAGCAGAAGATTTCCAAATCTCAGGGGGATGGGGAAAGCGCGCGCGTGCACACACACACACACACAAAAGGCTTGTATTTGAAAACTTGTTACTGACCCTTCTTTAAACCCCAGAATCAATATCTGTCTATAAAAAACACTCAAGTCTTGTAACATAAACATGTGTTTTGTCGCTTAGCCTACAGCTACTGTATTTTCTTACTGATACCCTGCAACACACACAATTCATATTTTTGTTTCAAATAAATGTTACATAAAAAAACCCTTCTCCAATAACACGAAATTAAAGGCAGAGGACGAGGAGGCTGGAGGGTCATTGGGAGAGAAGAATTAGACGCTATTGGAAAAGTGAAAATTACAATGCATATTGTGCAGCTAATAAAAACAATTTGCTAATTCACATCTACTCCAAGAACTCCATATGTAAGAGTACAGTATTTCCATATAAGGGGCATATTACTTAAATAGTGTAATACTTTAAGCATACTCTACTAACATGCTTGGCTGCTTTGACCAAAAGCTCTCTGTGCCCTACCATCAAGTACTATATGATCTTGTAAGCCTTCATGCTTCTGTTTATTGTCACTTAACATTATAACCGATAGCAGGAAAGAAATTGGGCTGTTGGTTGCTGTGCCACAAAAAGATTCAGGTTCAGGAGACTATAATTCAAATTATGCCACCTTTTAATGCAAAAAACCCATGCCTAAAGGCAAAAATCAGTTTGGCTTTAATTAAAGAATGCTCCCTAAATGACTATCTAAAACACAAGAGCTTCACAAAATTTGTAACTAAAACCAATGAGAACATTAATTAAACTGAAGACAGTCAATGTTCAAATTTGATATTTGGTAAAAAGAATAATTTACAACCATTAAAAAAAGGGAGTACAGAACAGAAGCTGTAAGACACTTCTACCTTTTCTTCACCTAAGACACCACGGGAAATATCCTAAGCTTTTCTTCACAGTGTTACTCGTATGAGAAAAGTTAGGAGCTTTACCCAAGCTCATGAAAAAAATCTTTAGCATCCTTAGCTATAAAGCAGGATCAGTATTTTAAGAACGTCATGCCTCTTCTGTGGTTCCTCCAGCTATTAAAAAAAAGAGTCAGTAGTAACACCGATCGTTGTAACATGCTTTGAGATCTACTTGTGAAAAGCACTGTACAGAAGCTGAGCGATCCTACACAGCAAGCCCAAGGGAAAATAAAGCAAGAAGAATCACTTTTCTGAGCACACCTTCTGTCTCCTTTCCCAGGAAGGTTTTAGATTTAGTTATATGCCACAAATGCACGAAGGCAAATTCTCAGGTGTCATATATTACGGTTATTTCACCAATTTCACCAATTCTCATCATCAATAGCTTCATAAAATAGCAACTACAGCAACTACAAATACGCGCTGCCTCTAAAGATAACAAATGCAGAGCACCTCGCACAGCGATTCCCACACTCAGCCCTATTCGGCTACACTTCGTGAAACAAACTGGAAAACTGAGTAACACTGCAATTCCCACAGAGCAACTTCAACACAGCAGAAAAGCACCAGAATTACAACTTGTTCAATGCAGTCCATTGAGACAATGAGATATTTTATCATAGAACAGATTTGTGCCTTAAGATAACTATCATTGTGCTGCTAATGATAAACATAAATCTTTATTTTTTCAGATCAGTACCAAAAAAGCCAGTGCTTTATGAATAGCACATCATACCAGCACAGGACTTCTGTTAAAACACAGCGCTCATGTTTGTAGATATAAGTGCTATTAAAAGGATTCAATTTAAAAAAAAAAAAAAAAAACCTCTAAAGACTGAAAAAGTTTTTTGGGGTTTTTTTTTTTTTTTTTTTTTTCCAGCTAGGGATCTAAATGAAGCAGTGGCAGGCTTCCAGAAACTTATAAAATGTCTAATGGGGCTAGCACTGCCATCAAGAAATTACTAGCTCCCATTAGCTTTAAAGAGGGTGTAAGATGGGTCAAATTTTGCAGATCACTATGGGCATATCTGGGATAACCTCCTCCGTAAGAAACCCATGTTCTAGCCAATTGCATAAAGTTTCATGAATTGTCAAGATACACCTAAAGCAAAGTTTAGTTCATGTCAGAATTGGGATGAAAGAATCTGTGTGTATACCTACAGTAAAGATGAGTGACATCTTTGGCTTCACAAAGCCTTCTACAAACTCTATGAAAACGTATCTTCCAAGATAGAAGGAACAACTTGCAGAAATCTCCAAAAATAAGGTGCCTCTTCTGCTCACGGCCAAAGAGAGGAAAGGGAGCTCCATGTGTACATAGCTTGCAATTCTGAAAATTGTGAAAGCGGGCCTTGAATCCAGTTTGGTGGGTGGGCTCGCTATGAAATTTAGGCATAAAGACTGGGGTTTAGACAACCATGTTCCTCCAGAGCAGCCGTCTGCCTTTCACCAGCTGACATCGCTGCAGAGAAAATTACAGAGTGCTGTGGGTCAAAACCATGTATTACTGAATTGTATGGTAGAACCTCTCATTGCTTTCAACCAATATACGATTTGGCCTTAAAATACATATGTATATAGAAACATATATTGAATTCTTCATCTGCAGACTGGACTGCAACAGGACACGTTAAAATAATAAAAGCTTAGACACAGGTGGATAGTATGCATTAAAACTAGCTTGAACAGAGATCACCCGGGGTGTTGATCCTCACGTTTGAGGGTGCAAACTGCCCGGGATTGTTTCGGACACACCATCAGTACGGCAGCACACACGAGGCTGTGGAGGACACACGTGGATTCTGCCCTCTTGGAAGCCGTTGGGTTTGGCGGAGACAGCGCTTGGCTGGGAACCATGGCCCTGCATAAATCACTTACCCACTTTCTGCCCTTTCTCCCTCATCCAATTTTTATCTTTCTGTTGTTTAGATAGCACAATAGCTGTACCATGCCACGTGCTAGTACATTAGCCAGCACAATCTTAATTACAGACTTCAGGCATCATCATGATTAGAGTAATAAGCTGTAATTACTCTAAGGTGACAGGACTGCACAGACCTTATCTACATAGATAAGGAGATGTAGTAATATTTCATGTCGAGACGTATTTTTCAGCAGCTACCCATGGAGTCGATTCAAACTAAGTAGCAGACCCTGTGAACAACACATTCAGACTTTAATGGAGGTTTTTCTCCTCTCCTGCCAGCATACAAGCCCACACATTATTAAATAAATCCTACAAACATATTAGGCATGGTTTAAAACCATCTTATTCAGAGATATCTTTCATCAGTAAAGAGCCTTAAGTGTATCAGGAAGGTGACTTAAATGTATAAATATGTAATTACATGCAATTCAATACAGAAGTGCATTAATATTTATGAGTGTACCGTATAATCTAAAAAAATTTCCATTTGTTTTATTTCTATTGGGCACATTAATCAACCTGATACCACTGTACGTGCCATAGCGGAGAAGAGCCGCCCATGCTGAACAGACTCCTGCCGCGACGTCAGGGAGCAGGAGGGCTGCTGAAGCCTGATGGGGTGGCACTGCAATCATCTCAGCTCCAATTAATATTAACAATTTCAATCCAAGCCCTGCATTTGGTGAGGGGAGGAGAAGCAGCCTCCGTGGGTACCTCAGATAATTTCTCAAGGTAGGAGGCTTGAAGGACACACTGCATTCTCATCAAGTGTTAAGCTTTCAGGGAGCTATGCCTGATTTATTTCAGGAGAGTCCATCTTCTTGCTATGTAAATGACAGCTCATTAATTATAGATCAGATCCTCAGTGGCGGCCGAGCAGTGCTTCACACTGCTTTGCGGGGTACACGCTTCACCCCCATGAATCTCACCCGAGAGCCAGTCCATCGCTGCTGCCCTTTCCTCCTGCCCTTGCCCTCCAGCCACCTTCCCTCTGATGATGACTTAAAAACTACACGTAAACAACAGGAACTCTGTTCCACCCCTTATTAAAGGATTTTTCTATGGGAACACTTGATGAAAAGCAATGCTGTAAATGCACTGTGTAGCAAATGCACTGCAGGCACTTATCTGGATGAAAATTTCAGGCGCTGCTCAGGGATTTCCAGCCTTGATCTTTACAAATCATCCTTGTGGATTATCGTTGTGATTCTGGTGTTCCAAGAACTTACTTTCTGAATTTGCACTGAACATGACCCCAGTAAAGTGCAACTTTTAAAAACTGATTATTAAAAACAAAAGTAGATTACAGTGCAGGGCTAGTAAAACCAAATAATAACTGCATCAGTCTACAACTATATTACAATTATTTGCTCCTCAGGTTCTTGCTAAAGTCCACAACAGCTTTCTATCAGAGCCCAACAATTTATCCTTCGTTCCAACAATAAAATTAATATAAAGAAATAAGACACTTTTAAAAAACCCAAAATTATTAAACAGTCATGAAATGTCAGTGTAATACTCCACTTAAAACACAAATAGTTAGAAAAGCAAGCTTGAATCTACCAGTTTGCCCCTGTCCACTATTCAGACATCCAAGCAT